CACATATGCTAAGCAAACGGCCTACTCCTGATCTCCATCACTGGCCTCTGTTTTACTGTTTATTTTGAGATGGGTTCTCACTAAGTAATCCAGGCAGGCCTTGAAGAATGACCCTCCCACCTCACTCTTTTGAGTAAATGAAGTCGTAGACCTATGACACCAAGCCTGGTTCAAAGGCAACTATTCCACAGTATTATCTGTACTATAACAAGATATGTTATCTTTCTGGTTTTAATTAAATTTAACAAGCCCTCCTGAGTTGTAATAACCTCACATAAAATTATACTGGGAAAAAAATGACCCCCCCAAACTTCCCAGAATTAGACTCTGACTTTTATAGCATGGAGGAAATATCACCACTGAACAGAAACACTTCTCAGGCAAGCATCTTTCAGGTGCATCAGCAGCCAAGCATATGGGATACGGTGATAAAAGAAAATTCCCAGAATGCTTATCGCACTGGCCCAGGGTGTTGTAAATACAGTACGTTTGTGTTACGGGGAACTGTTAAAGTGTCTCTGTGCTGCCAACAGGATTGGTGAAGAACCCCTCCTTTGTGGGGCTGGTTCTGATTGTCACTGAACACCAAAGTGAGTCTGGCAACCTGACAGCATCACCTCAAGCTTCCTCACTGAAAGAATGTAAATTCACAGCAGATCAGGGTATCACACTCCATCTTCACACTGACATATCTGTCTCCTTTCTATGAAACATCCAGTGAAACGGGGATTTTGAAAGCAAACAGCAGGTGTTTGGCATCATCTATGCTTGCACGTGGGGTGTGTGTCAAAATCTAATGCTAACTTGGATATCTCAAGAGATTTTTTTTCAACAGTATGAACATTAGAAATTTACTTATGAGCCTAGAATTAAAAATTGGATTTGGTCCCCAGGCCTTCTGTGTAATAAATGAGTAAGCGTGGACTCGTTACTTATGCCCCAGCACTTTCATGGTGTGTAAAAGGGAAATAATAACACTTCCATTGAACAAATGCAAACCTGTACTTATAGGAAGTAGGATGTTGGTGCTTTCACATGATTCATCATGCATAGCTCTCCCTGGACTGAATGCAGGGGGAAAGAACATATGTCTATCTATTACTTTCCACTCTCTGGGTTGCATATGATTCTAAGTAGCTTACAAAAAATGGGAACGCCTTATCTCAAACAATTGAATATTCTTAGCTTCATGCATGGCAAGATATCCCCCCATACGTGTGTGTGTGTGTGTGTGTGTGTGTGTGTGTGTGCCGTGCACGTACATGTGTGTGCCTCTGTGTGTGCCTGTGTTGCACGTTGTGGTGTGCCTCTCTGTGTCTGTGTGTATGCATGTGTGTGTGTGTGTGTGTGTGTGTGTGTGTGTGTGTATGTGTGTGTGTGTGACTAAGTCCTCCTTCCTCTACATCTGTAGACTTCACATTGTGGAGAAGATGACCAATGATTGAACTGACGTGTTTCCAAGGACTGTTTTTCTCAAGTCATGCTAGCCACTGACCTTTGTTGCCAGATGTATCGCACATGTTCTCCGTGGCTCAACCTGTTTGACTTACTCACATTGGAGGATACTGTAAGAGCAAAGGACACTGCACAAGGCAGCCTTCTTTGAGCCACACAGAAAAAAATGTATTCACTGCAGTTAGAACAATACCCTGGAGGTCCTACCTCATGAAACATGGGCTCACATTAAAGAAATTTCTGCACAGAGCTCAAAGGAAACAGCATATACATTAGATTTACTATTTGACCCAAAAATCAAATAACCAACTTTGCCTGATTTGCTTAAGAGTTCCCTGTTTTTTTATCAATGAAATCCATGCTTTGGAGAACCTCTCAGCCCTGGGCAGATCATTTCTTCTGTTTTACTTTTTGGTGTCTTATTTACCTTTCAAACAGCATGTGATTTGAATTTTGTTTGGCTTCTCCAAAGTAGCTGTTCTGCATTGTTTATAAAACAAGCCAGGCCTCAGTAAACATATGAAACCTGAATAATCTGTGAAGTGGGAGCTAATTGTTGATTAAAACAAGAAATGTATGTGCAGTACCTAGGGATCTGAGACAGTGTGGTTATGATGTTGGAGATGAAGAATGAGGAAAGAAGAGAGAATAGTGATGGTTTGGGGTGGTGAGACAGATTGTTAATGGACTCTTAGTTTTACTGTTGGCAGAGAAGCAAATTATTAATAAAGGAAATGGTTGAGACTCAGGACCCTGTTATTTTGAGTCATCATTTATGAAGTAAACCAGGAAATGCTTTTTGTTCCCAAACTATGCTTTGAGGCTGAGCCTGTCTTTGAAAATTTTTGATCAAAATATTAACATTAGAGAGAAGACAGTTTGCAGTCTTTAAAAGAAGAGCTCTCAATGGAGAAAAGAGCTTTCCAAATTACAGTCTTAGGAATAATATGGGGCCAGTGCGATGGCTCAGCTGGTAAAGACACTTGTGGCTAAGACCTAGGACCTGGGTTCAAATCCCCTGAATGCAGCCAAAGGAGAAAACTGGCTTAACCAAATTATCACTTAATCTATACACACTCCATGGTACATGCACACACACACACACACACGCGCGCGCACACACACACACACGCGCGCACACACACACACACACACACACACACAAAGAGAAAGAGAGGGAGAGAGAAATGTTTAAAATAATAATAGTAATGTGAATGAGATTACCTTATGCAAATTAACTCCAAATTCTAATGCCCCCTCAGGACACAGTTTTCAACAACTTTCATGTGATTTTTTGACCTTACTCAGTATCACTACACTACCTATTTGCTCTCCATTGTTCTGTTCTACATGTTTAACCACACAGGCTGAGCTGAATTCCTATCAGAGTCCAGATGGTCTGGGCTAATTTTTAATCCTAAACTTTTTGAACTCTAATTAGGAAGAAATATAATGTAACCCACAATCAAACAGTGTTTCCAAGAGGCATTGAGGAAGGGCTTAGTCACGCTGTTTCCCTCTTGTTTCTGCCTTTTGATATACTTAAGATTTTGTGACCTAAATTGTATCCTAATACAACAGTGAAGCTGAACTGAACTGAACTGCACTTCCAGGAGTCCAGAGGTTGACCAGAACACTAGGAGGTTAAAGTCCTCAGGTGCCTTCTCTCTTCACCCTAAGGAATAAATCTTTGTATAGCCAAACTAGCAAGGCTATCCAAAGTAGGATGGGAAGAATACATTGAGGTGTAAGGAGAGAACTTAATAAAGGGGACCCATGACTGTTCTGAAAGGCATATTTGGCTAATTTCACTGCTATTATGAACTCTGTAGTACCTTTTTGTTGTTTATCTTCTTTGTTAGCAACCCCTTATTCAACCTTCCCTTTTTCCCTGAATTACAGCCAGTAAGCCAGACAGACATTGTTCAGTTTATCTTGGAAATACATACCTGCTTTTACAATTACAATCATGGTAAAGTATATTTATGAAGTTTTATAAAAAGAGGAAATGCTATGAAGGAGAAATATTGAATAGTGTAAGAGAACGTGAAAAATCAGAGTTGGCTGTTGCCACTTACTATGTAGGTGACTCACTAACAACTTCTCAAAGTTGTTTTAAGAATTCAGTGAGAAGGACATAAGTCAGCATCCTCAATATTACCTCTGTTCTCACTCTCTCTGGCCTCAGCCACAGGCTGGGTTAAATACTCCCAAGATTCATGTGTAGGTTGAGCTCACTGAGACAAGGTTTAATTAGGAAACTGTTCTTGGCAAAGAGAAGACGCAGGTCTTAACCGAAATGACATTTCAAAAATGAGCTTATGAACAAGTGATGAAAGTCAACAGCATAATTAAATATGAGTTAGACCTGGGCTGCGTATATTTTCAAGGGGAAAGTAGATCTCTCTTTATTTGGCATCTGTGGTTGCTATAAGGATAAAGAGAAATGGAAAGACAATTTTGACCCTATCAAAGTGGCAATCATAGAGAGGCAAAGAAGTAGATGACAGAGAGAGGAGAAAATTCGCTCCTTAGAGGAAGAGAAGGCAGGGCAGAACCCAGGAGTCCTGGCACCAAGAATGTGAACCAATGCCCTGGATGAAGTGGGAAGCAGACGTGCTCCTTGTCCATTAACCAGATTTTGTCTATATTTGATGCTGGAAAAGAATACTGTCTTAGTTTGGTAGTCAAGCCAAAAGAAAGTGTCACAGACCAGGTAGGTAAATTAAAAACAATTTATTTCTCACAGATTTGGAGACTGGAAGGTCCAAGATCAAAGGGAAAGGCAGTTCAGCATCTGGTAAGGATCCAGCCTTTGCTTATGAAATCGCCTACATCGTCCAGAGAAGCCAATATTGTGTAGTCACATAGAAGAAGGGCAAAAAGGACCTTCTAGGTCTTTTTATAAGGACACTAATGTAATTAGTGTGGACTCCATCCCCATGACTTATTTTCCTAAGGTCTTCACCACAGCAAAATGAGGCATCTATCTCCAGTGGGCTGGAATATTTAAGTGACCCCTTAGGCTTCCTTTTGCTGATAAAGATTTCAGGCAGTGGCTTAGTCTTGAATTTTCTCTTTCCACACCCAGTATTCTCTCTGAGAAAATGTCTAGACCGGCTATTTATTCCCTTTTGTCTGGCATAGCATGTTTTCTCTACATCTTGTCCCTTTCTCTGACCAAACCCCAACTTTTTCACCTAAAAGCATCTCAGAGCCTTCTTGCTGTTGTTCTTTTGTAAAAGATTAAAAGTTAGAAAAGGTGTGATATGGAACTGGGACCGGCGCGATGGATCACAAGCCATAGAGAGTACATTGACCATGGTTTATTACAACGGTGGGAGAGCCAGAGGGGGAGAAGAGAGACGGACGAAGGGGAGAGAGAGGGGGTAGGGGAGAAGGGCAAGAGAGGAAGAGAGCAGAGAGCAAGAGTGAAGGGAAGTAAGAGAGAGTAAGTGGGGGGGGGTCTGTCTCTTAAAGGCAGCCTTTGCACCTGCGTGCAGACTAGTTCTCATGGAACCCTGGGCTGGCCAGAGTACTGCCTGAGTGCATTCTGCCAGGTAACAGGGACATGATGCCTGAACCTTTCATTCTCACCTTTACTTGTTATTAAAAAGTGGGGTGTTAGGCATGGCAGGTTAGGGAATATGGACATTGAGCCCTCAAGACTGTTTCTTGTTGACCTTGGGGGCATTGGCCATCTTTGGGGGATCTGAGAAAGCTGGGGTGCTGCCATGTCCTGGGGTAGCTTGTTGTTCCATCGCAGTCCAGGCTGTATGGAACTCTCTGGCGCCTCTTAGACCTGACAAGATGTTAGCATAGTGGAGGGCAAGGTTAAGTTTAGAAAAAATTTTTTTCTTAGGTCCTGGTACTTGAGGGAAGGATTGTAAGATGTGATCCCAAGAGGGGGGAAGAGAGTCCCAGGACCAGGGAGAGATTGGATAATATCTAGAGTGAATCTGACCTGTTTAGATAGGTCCAACTCAGCTCCCTGAAAGTTACAAGAATCCTTTGAGTTTGTGAAAACATAAATTTTAGACACATTAGCAGCATGTTTATGTTAGAAGCAACTTTGCGGAAAGCATTAACATTTTTAAAACTGACATATTTTTAGCATAATAAAAAGTACCTTAATCTTGATCTTGCAGTTATGATCATATAGTAATATAGTTTCATGTTTATTGGAGTTGGATTAGTAGCTTTTCAGAACTTTATTATTATTAAGACTATGAACAGTAGCATAGTGAAAGAGAGAAATCTGGAACATATTTCATTCTTCTTAATGTCTCAACTCACTTTATTTGTCATTACTTAAGCCTTTTTTATCTTCAGACCTTCATAACTTTAATTTATAGACCTTACATTACCATCTTATATAGACAGATCTTAAAATACCTGTCTCTGAAATCTGTTTTGTGACAGAGCCTTGGCTGTTGCTTTAAGCTAGCAAAGCTACCAGCCATCAAAAGCATCAGAGTTCTTGAGAAGGATAAAATTTCACCTGAGTTAATGATTAGAGAATAACAGAGACTTACTATCTGGCTACATGTACAGCCACCCCCAAGGTCCTCTATAGTTGTTGAGGGCAGTGGCTTTGAGGACACCCATCTTCTTCTGATAGCATGGGACCTGTGGACCAGGGACTCTAGGAAGACTTGCCTGCTGTTGGCTCAAGCAACGTGGAGAAAGTCAATTCCACTGTCCTCTTGTCCGCTGTCTGAAGAGTCCTTTGCTGCAGTTGAGGTGAAAGACAGGGTTGGTCAGTGGCCAGCGTTGTCACTTTTGTGGATGGAGTTTCTTCAGGTGCCCACCAGTCTTCTTGGAGAAAATGGGGTGGGGGTCAGCAGCTGGTCTGTCTCTCTGTTATAAAAAGTTTTTTAATAAAACATTTAAATGCTAGTTCTCTAGATCTCCGAGCAGTTGAGGACGGTCTGTTTAGTGTATAATAGAAGCTTTACCTTTGTAAACAGCTTACATGAAGGACTGGATGCTATAAATATTTTGTTAATTTGAAATAGACCTTTATAACTTTAAATGTTTATCATCATTTAAAGATACACAGCAACTAAATTTAAGTTGTATAGAGTTAGTTCATATTTTTAAACAGTGGCTAGACTTTTAACCTTAAATGTTTACCATCATTTAAGGATATATAATAATTTAGAAATATTTGAGACTTAGCATAGCTGAATTTAAATTGTATATAAAGTTACTTTACATTCCTTAAACAGTGGCTACATGTACACATACATATAGATACATTAAACAGGACTGGGTAAAAGTAAGAAGGAAGAACCAGAGTATAATTTCTGATTTATACATTGTAGCAAACAGACAGGATATTTAAAGAGACAGAGTAGACTTAAACTGCCAGATCCATTGAGGATACAACAGAGGACCCTGGAAAGGCACAGTACTCCATAAACAAGCCATGTGCAACAAGGCCAGTGAAAGAATAAATTAAAGATAAAAATAAAAGGGCAAAAAGTAAATGAATTGTGTCTGTCGGCAGGGTTTGCAGCAGAAGCTGGCTAGACTGAGTGGACATGCCTACAGCTAGGTCACATGGTCAACATGGCTGCTTCCATAGACAAATTCCCAAGCTAGACCGCATGGCCAAGATGGCGGCCCCCATAAGCACATTCCCATCTGCCGGCAGAAGTGGTCTTTTATCTCCACAGGTGAGGTAGAAAGATGTGTGACCACGTCTGAGGAACAGATGACACATCCAAAAAAGGCCACTGTAGCTCTGAGAAACAGATGCACCAGTCTACGGACAGTGCTAGGGTACAAAACCTGAGGGACCCCTCTGGGTCTGAGAAACAAATGCACCGATCAGTACAAAACCCAAAAATCTCAAACCTCATTCGTGGGGGAAAACTCTCAGAACGTCCCCAGCAGATGCTGACCCAGGCTGGACTGACTCACTGTGAGCCGCTAGCATCCGAACCAAACCATGATGGGAAGCGGTGGGACGTCTCCGGCTGGCAGGAGTTTTAGCGTACAGGGAAGAGAAAAGCAAGACAAGTGAAAAAGAGTAGATGCCACATTCCCAACCAAGGATCGCTGGTAGAATATAGGGTACCGATAAGCAGGCACATGGTTTGATATGGAGGGCCCAGCTTCCATGAGAGAGGCAGAGAATATCCAAAGCCTATAATCTCCAGCATCCCAGAGACTAAGGGAGGATCAAATACAAAAGGCATCAAGTGATTTCATGATTCGTCAAGCATGGATCAGGTGCCAGGACTCCCGGGGCTGAGACACGTGTGGTCACCCAATATTGGGAGTTTTGACTGGTCCAAAAAATGAGAGGGACCACAATCTCTATAAGTCTTAACTCATGGAAGCAAGGTAGGGGTGGGCTTACCAGACATGGCAGTGGTGGATGGAAGGTTCCAGAGATCCTTAGTTGGAAAAGTGACCGAGTTGAAGTTTCCAGGTTGTCGAGTGGAGAGAAGGATCCCCATGTGTCTGGCACCTGCCAGAAGGCAACAGGAGAGGCCAGGGAGAAAGCCTCCCAGGTTTCACGGCATCAAATGTTGTTCTTTTGTAAAAGTTTCAAAAATAGAAATTAGAAAGGCATGAGATGGAACACGAGATATGAGAGATACATTAATCATAGTTTATTACAGCGACGAGAGTGTGAGGAGGGAGAAGAGAGAGGGATGATGGTGAGAGAGGGGGAGGGGAGAAGGGCAAGAGAGGAAGAGAGCAAGAGTGAAGGGAAGTAAGAGAGAGTAAGTGGGCGGGGGTCTGTCTCTTAAAGTGGGCTTTTACACCTGCGTGCAGACTAGTTCTCATGGAACTCTGGGCTGGCCAGAGTGCTGCCTGAGTGCATTCTGCCAGGTAACAGGGGCAGGGCAGCATGATGCCTGAACCTTTCACTTCCAGAAAGAATATGAGAAAGAAAAGAAGAACCGAGGCATGAGAATGGAGCCGTGCTGATGAAATTCCATTCCATGGTACAAGCACTTGCGTCCTCAATGAAGCACTTTCTCAAGGCTCACCACACTTGCAACCAAGCAAAGGCCACTAATAGTGCTATACCATTTTATAGCTGCCAGAAACATAACTGAGAGACACAAAGAACCTTATCCAGCGATGTGTTTCCTAATGGCCAAAACACAGGCATCAAAACCATGCATCTGCCCCCACCTCCCACTATGGACATAATACCAAAGGCTAATGGGGCCGGGGAGAGTCTTTGGCTCCAGATCTTTTACCAGCTGTGAGATCCTTGGGAAGTTTTGCAACTTGGCCTTCACATCCACTGCCAACTGAAGGCGATGACATTGATGGCTGCCACAAATATTCTCTATAGCAGCAATTAGGAAACAATAGCAGCCGGCCTTAGAAGATCTGTCGGAGAGCCTTGATTTTCCACATATGAAACATGAGACATTCAACTTGAACTTTAGATATTATCAAGACTCGGCACTCTTTCCCAAACATGATTTGGGGAACAAGCCAGCAGATAAAAAAGGATATTTACTTTTTTGTTTGTGAAGTAACAGCGAGGCGCTCTGCTGAGACTCCCTCACCATTGGACGCCCTGACCTTGCAGGCTCCCTCTACCCATCACCCTTTGAAGCCTGGAAATACGCTTTTGAAAGCAAATCAGGAAACCTAGTATCAATCTGAAGACACAAAAAAAAATGTGCTTTTTGCTGGCAAAAGGAAAGGGGCTTTGAGCTAAAGTCCACATCTGTGCGGAGTTCCAAGCATCCAGCTGTTGGAAGTTCTTGCGAGCACTGTAAGTAAACAGCCCTCTCCCGGTTCCCCCATCCATGCAGACATCTTCAGGCTATTTTCACCCTGGAGAAGACTCTTGGCTTCCGTTGTCTTACACTCTGTGTGCTGCTCTGATGCTTGGGGGTGTTTACTGACTTGGGCCTTAGTCAATAAAACATTTCTGGGGGACACGTGTGCCAAACTAAAGAGAGAAAGTGAAAGTCAGACTCAGCTTTGCCTGGGTTAGTTTTGAAAAGCCTCAGACATACATTCCTCCCCAGCTACAGATCAGTACCCATGGAGAGCATGTCACAGACACAATGGGAGCAAGCAAAAGCAGGCCTCTGACTGCCCAGTGAATCACAGGACTGTCTGTGAGTCTGCTCCTGGTGAACCCAGGGTGAAGATGCTTCCTTCCATTTACTGTAAGATTCTAGTGGGGGAAGAGGAAAATCTCCAAGCCAACACCTCTCCTCATAGAGGTCTTTGTAGTGGGATAGATCCTGAGCTCGGTTTCTTTTTTCGTTAAGAGTGATGGTTTATTTATGGTCTGTTTTATGATTAGACACATGTTCCACTCCATGGGGCTGTGAGCATAATACAGGACAATGGCATAACAGTAGGGTAAAGGATGGACTCTTGTTAATAGCAATTCCAAGAAGACTGCATGCTTTCATAAGTGGCACAGTACGTCAATTTCATTAACAGTATTTTAAATTGGATTGTGGTTTGTGACTTTGGAATCATGGAAAGATCATAACAAACTTCAAGGGAATTTTTAAGCAAATCTTCTGCCATAAGATTATACAGTTTCTTCAAGAACCCAGTGTCCTTTTTTAAGGTCCTCATTGTGGTCCGATGACTATATGGGACTTGTATCCTAACACGTCACGGCCTACTGTGTCTCTCAATGTGTTTTCATTTAAATTAGTAATGTTCCACACCCTTGCCTGAAGTGTGTGCTCCAGACTCCCTGGAATGTTCCCAGATTAACAAAAAATAAGCATTCTTCGTGTTAGCTGATAAAAATCTGTCTTCTTGGGTTCATGCGATGACATTCAATGATGATGATGATGATGATGATGATAAGGATGATAATGAGAATGTCTCATTGTTAGTGACTCAGAAATTGTCAGCTTACACTCAAAAGACTATAAATGTTAATAAGATTCTACAAGTTATCAAGAATTCCTAACAGCCCGGTTCATGAGAACAAACCATACCGACTTTGAATTTGCGATCTCTAACCTAGCACCTTCACCTAAATAAATATCATCTGCCTACTGCACTGACAAAAAGGCACAACAAATGTTCACCCTGCTAAGACAAGTGTGTTTGTGGCCATCACACAGCACAAGTTAGCTTTCATTTCATCGACTAAAGATGTTGGATGCTTACCATCTGACATGTGTGCGGCACTGTATCATAAGGCAGAAGACAAATCCTGTGTGTGAAAGGAGATGATTTAAGGGAAAATATTACTGGGAACTTAAGGTGTTTTGGTCCATTACCTGGCCACATTTCACCTGTTCTGTGGAAGAGGTAGACAGCTGCCAAGAAATACAGGATCTGAAGCTGGAGGGTCAGAGGCATAGAACAAACTGGTTTCCGTGTAAGTGTGTGTTTACATAACGCCCTGCATCTCCCTTTCTTCCCCATAACGTATCAGCAGCATTCAAGTAAGGCTCGGCGTTCAAATTACAGGTAGGTTTTTTTTTCTTGTTTATATATGAGATTACAAAAGCTAGAGAGGTGGCTAGCCAGGGTCACCTGAGCAGCAGGACACAGAAATTCTACACTTTCATCTCTTCCTTTGGTTGCTTGCATTCCTTCATGAGCCTTCCCTTAGTAGTTCTCTCCGTGGCCTTCTGGAAAAAATGCTATTGACCTTGATTTCATGCAAACATACTGAAGCTCAAAAACATGAAGAAACTTACCCAACACCACACTGCTCTGTGTTCACAGGGATAGCAGCCAAACAGGTTTTCTAATTCTACATCGTGAATGCTTCCCTGATTCCACATCCTCTGCTGCCCTTTGTCAAGCTAGTGAGGAGTCGGTGCTGTCTGTCCAGAAAGGAGAGAGCAAGCCTGCCAGGGCTGCTCACAGTCACTATCAACAAGGTCACAGCCATACTTGGTACTGTGTTTCATTTGCACACTCGTGTGCCTGTGATTCCCTGTTAGCAAATCCCCAGGCAATTCAGTCGTACATCAGAGTTCACCAGCTACCATGCTCACCCAGCTCTGTAGTTGGTGGTGGCAGGAGAGGTGGGGACAGGACACAAAGGTTGTGAGTCCGTGTATATCCAGGGTGGCCTTGACCTGAAGAAAGCAGAGTTCTGTTCAGGGCAAGTGATTGACCATTTTCTACCCACACAATTTGTGTCATACCCTGTAGTCAGAGCCAACAGTAAACCAGGGTTGCTTACTGTCTAACTTATGTCCAGTGAGCTCCTCCTCTCTCAGTGTGTGTCACCTTCTAAGCCATGTGACCATCTGAACTTTGGTCACCAGTTGCAATTGCTGCGTCAGGCTTCAGTGAGCAGCAGAGCAGAAGATTACTTCCATCGAGATTTCTTTTTTATTAAAAATCAGTGCAATTTTAAACAATCAGTCAAGGGGCTGGAGAGAAGGCTCCATGGTTAAGAGAGCCCTGGCTTCTCCTCCACAGAACCCTGTTCGATTTCCAGCACCCACATGGCCCGCTCATGACTGTCTCAAACTCCAGTTCTAGGAGATCTAATGCTTTCTGCATTCTGCAGGCTCTGTATGCACATGCTACACAGACACACATGCGGCAAAACACCCATGCACATAAAACAGATAACTTTTTAAAATATCAGTTAATAGATATTGAGGAGACATATATGGTATCTATATTGTGAGAGATCTACTTCAGAAGCTTTTATCTATTGAATGTGATGAAAAATGTATTCGAGTTGTTGCCTCTGCTGACTGTTGTAGCACATGCCTGTGAACATCAAAAGGAAGCCAGGCCAAACACGTGCTTGAAAGCTGGGAACTTCATGCCTGAGAAAGGGGCCATGGAGGCGGAGGAGAACAGGAACCATGGAACAATGTTGGGGATCAAGAGGAAATAATTCTCTCTTCATCACTTTTCACTTCAAGACTCCAGGCTTATCACTTAGCTCCTGATTGCATAACAGACATGAACAGCTCATCTTAGCATTCCGTGTGATAGGTGTATAATGATACCCCCTTGCTGCTTCAGTCCTGGTCCTGCTTGACCCCATAGCATTTACTGAATACCCAACGTGTGCCAGTCATTACTTGTAGAAGTAACAGGGAGCAAGGACCGAAGTGCCTGCTCCCACGGACTCTGTGCTTCAGAGGCAAGAGCAAACAAAAGAATCACAGACCCAAATGTCCCTTCCCAGACTATGTGAAGAACAAAACAAATTAATGGAAGGAAGGAAGAGTAGGATCCAGGGAAGGGACACATCTTGGCTAAGGTGCTCAGTTACTCATTGCTGATGAAGAGGCATTTAGCACAGACTCAGGTCAAAAGGAAACACACAAAACTAAATCCAGGGTTGAGGAGCAGACTAACTCATGATAGCAAATCACTGAAGCCCTTTAAAAACTATTGATTAGCATGTGCATACTAAGGTGTGTACATGCCTGAAGTGCAAAAGACCATCTCAGGTGTTGCACGGCCTCTGTCCACTATGATGATGATAATGATGATGATGATATGATGATGATTATGATATGATGATGATGACTGGGTATTCCTTTAGCATGGAACTTGCCAAGCATACTAGCTAGGCTGGCTAGCCATAGAGCCCAAGGAGCATGCCTGTCCCTGCCTCTCCAGTACTGACCTTGAAGCATGCGCCTCCATGCTAGGTAATTCTACGTGGGTCCTCTCTCTTTCCAGGCAAGCACTTTACTATCAAAACGATCTCTCCAGCTCCAGTGAAAACACATTTTAGACCTGATGTATGCATCACCCATGAGCTGCACAGTTACGATAAATCCACGGGGCTTTCTTTTAGCCTTGGAGCCCTGTTTTGTAGCTTATTTTTCTTTCTTAGCATTGTGCTTGTAGAATGTATGTGAAAAGAAGAAAACAGTCCCTGAGTTGATCTCCCACTGTAGCCATTTGCTTCCTTATTCTATTATCAGGGGTTTTTAAAAATGATGTTCTCCCTCATCAGAGATACATTAGGAGGTCCTGAATAGAGATTAAATAAACATTTCTCTTTCAAAAACTTTAATCATCACCATTTCTAGGGATTAAGTTGTTAGAGAAGACATGGCAGGACATGGCAGACTTTGGAATGGGGTGAATTGTGTGGCTTCGTGGTGACTTCCTGTGTGGCTTCAAGTCAGAAATCATATGTATGTTAATGGAGCCAACACGCAGCATTGAGGGCAGTCAGCCAACCCATCCCTACTGGCCAAGAGTCACATGTACAGCTTTTCAAAACAACTGGTCTGGGACATTTCCTCACAGGTGAGAGACAGTGCCTACCCAAAGAAAAGGTCCCCATGCAGAGAACATGCCCCAGAGGAGTCTTTGTCTCTTAATTACCCAAACAATTGCAGCCAGAGTATTCTTAGCTGTACGGGTCCAGACGATTGTCTCGTTGCTGCATTTTGCCTTTGCTTCCAAAATATAAATCTGAATTATGGATCCACAGCCCAGATGCGAGGAGATGCACGGGTTGATTTTCAGGGGCTTATTGAGTTTTCTAATTTGGCTTACTTTATAACAACTGCCGTCTTCTCAAATTGCAAAACATTATTTCCAATTTTTGTTTTAGAAACAAGTTTCAAAGCTACAATTCAAGGGCAGCAAAGAATGAGGAAGCAGGACAGGGCTAGGAGGTTGCGGTTCGTTGGTGCACAGCGCAGGAAACTGTACGAGTGGGACACTTTGGCAGCTTCGGATGAGATATGGCAAGCTGCTGTGGGGTGGGTGAGAGGGCTTCGTACAGCTACGAAGCACGATTTTTATAAATATCTCCAGCAGTGTATCCTTGAATTAGCTCTTTCCTTTGACTCTGGAGGTGGGAGGCAGCTAATGTACTATGAAGCTTATTTGAATGGAGTCCTAAGAAGTTTACCAGCTAGCGTGAACTAGTGAGTAGCAGAACTCCAGCTTAATCAAGGACTCCCACTCTTGCTAGCCCACTAACTTCTCACTGAGCCTCAGACAAACAGGGTGCTTTCTTCCCCCACATGAATTACACGTCTATTTAAGTAAAACAAGAATTTACTGCAAGACCAATGTTGATAGGGTCTCCTGAGAGAAGAGACTGCGGAAGAGTCTTCTTTGGAGGTCTATTAAAACCACATTGGTTATCATACGTGTCTGCTATGACTTCAGTGTGGTCCTTCCCCAAGGTAAAAATAGACAAAAATGAGCCCTCGGGTTCCTTTCTCACTCTCCAAAGGTCACATCTGTATCCATGCAAAGCAAAATGGTGGGTCACATGGAGTCCGGTGCCCACTCACTCACACCCCCTCTATCCCAGATTGTCTGGAAGGATGATAGTCTCTTGGACCATGACTCTGTGGATTGTCCTCCCACAACCAGGAAGAGGACCTCACTCTGCTCTAGTCTGTGCCCAACAAAACAAGCGTCATCCTTGTTAAATCCAGACAAAAACTGGCATGAACATAGTGCTATGTTAGAAAACCGGAATTCTCTTAAAATTCTATTGTGGGGATCAGTTAGCATTGTATTTGCCTGTGACTATCATAAACCCAGTTCCTTTAGCAACTACAGGCTTTACTATAACAATAAGCAAATGCAAGTAGTCCAGGGTGTAGCTGCTCAGGATGCCATCAGGAGACTAATCCCCTTGAAAGTTCTTGCCCCATTAAGTCCCCATGCAGTTTTCATTCTCACAATGGCAATGCATTGCTGTACTCCCAGTGTTGAGTTCATAGTCCATTCAGGAAAGTAAAAGTAATTTCTTTGTACATCTTTGTCTTATAATTTGGGATAAGAAACTCTCTTTTAAAGGCTGGAGAGATGGCTCAGAGGTTAAGAGAACTGGCTGCTCTACCAGAGGTCCTAAATTTAATTCCCAGCCACCACACGGTGGCTCACAACCATCTATAATGAGATCTAGTGCCCTCTTCTGGCCTCCAGACACGCAGGTGGAGCACTGTATACATAATAAATAAATCTTAAAAAGAAAAGAAATTCTTTCAAGACATGAATGTGCAAATTGTCTGCCAAATGATGTATGGAATATGGCTATTCCCAGCTACAAAATAATTTGGAAGTCTGCATGTTTTGCATTACAGTCTTTGGTACAGAAAAAAGCTACAAAATGTGCTTTGAAATGGGTTTTGAATGAGTATTTATTAAAATATGTTATAATGGCCTACTTTTGAAAATAGCAAATCTGGAATTTGACATAAAAATGAGACATTATGTCAATATTTACTTTCTGTGTCTATTTGAACATTTAACAATTCTTCCAAGCATGAAGATGGTTTTAGGATAAGAGATAAGGACAGATGGTGTCAGAATTTTACCTAAAGTAGATAAAACTGGAAGGTCTAGGTCAGGCCAATGCCTTAATTCCCACTCACGAGGTATGAGCCACTTCTAGACTTCAGTTTCTTTATATTTAAAATGCAAGGTCTGTGTCTGCTGCTCATCTAGTAGAGTAGAGACAAAGAGGCCTGGGATCCATCCCCCAAGATGTATAAACCAGGAGTGGTGGTTCACACTGCAATTTCATCAGTTAGAAGCAGAGACAGGAGTCTTACAAAGTCAGGGACACCCTTAGCTACAAATGTAATTGAGACCAGCCTAGACTATATGAGACCCTGTCTGAAAACAATAAAATAAAGTAAAAAGTTTAAAGAAAGGACAATCTTTGCAAAGAATCAAATAATCTTTATAATTTTCATAGACCACATGAAGAGCATAGCAAGCATTCGGGAAATGGGAACTTTCTTCCCATTGCTCGCTTTGTATCTTTCATTCTGAAAGTTTGTAAGCCTTCAGGAAACTAACTCAGAGCTAACAGTTAGAGCCTCCTCTTTACAAGAAAAGGGAGCAAACCCCCTTGATGGTACCCAGGCTCAACTTTGGTTGAGTTCATGCCAGGCTCCTTTCATTAACAGCATCATCACTCTATCTTAGCAAACCAGACAAAAATGCCTAAGCAATTTTGTTTTTCCAAGATGCATCATACGCTTCAAAGTACCATCTGCCTGCGACTTGTTACAAAACAGAGTCAACAGAGCCATTTGGTGACATTTTTTCAAGTGACTTCAATGTTTGTTACCAAGGGATCTAATTCCTTGCATTTGTGAAATTTGTCCTGTGTTGTTGGGATGTGAACTAAAGCCTTCACTGAGGCACTGGGCTATTGCAATGCATTGTCCTCATCCTAACCCACAAAGCCAGGTTTTCAATTGGCTTTATCTCAATTTTAATTATCTCCCTTGTCACTCGAGTGGTTCCAGTCAAAGATGGATGCTGGAAACTTATCACCTCACGTCGTGACTGCAGAGTTTAAAAGAGAAACAAATAAATAAAAAAAAAGAGCCCACAGATTTACATACTCAGAGTTCTGCCTTTCAGCCCAAATCTCATTTCTGCAAGACAGCAAGGTAAAAACATTTGCAAATACAGTTCAAGGTCATGAGGAGTTTTTATGAGCTCTGCCTCTGGTAAGCAACTATCAGACCACATAGTCTCCTCTCTTATCTACAACAAATAATGAACATTATGGGTCTTGCACATCTCTCCTGACTGATATGAAAATTACTAACACAATATGCCTCTATATAATTGTTGACATAAATGCATACACACAAAACAAGGCAAGATTCACCCAAACTTATGTTGGTGCTTCTCATCTTCTGGAGTGCAGTATGCACCAAGCCATCCCTCATAATTAATCCTATGTGCCTCTCAGACTCCACTTTGATTTCTCATCTTCTTTTTATGGAGAACGTTTCTCACCTTTCACTGTTCTCTTCCTTGATCTAGCTTTGCTGGATCCTTCCTGGGTTGTAGTTGAGTCTCTGTGCAGACTAAGCAGCCCACTGTCTGCAGACTGAGGATATTCTCATAAGCCTACATAGAGAGAATTCCTTTTCTCATGTTTATTGGAAGAAAAAAACCTGTAAGTACCTCCCAAGTGAACCAAAGAGACAAAAATACCTGCTCTTTAGACAGAAGTGCTTCATTCCTTGGGCTTCCCAAGAAACACCTACAACCCCACGTCATGCTCTCCTCTTACAAACTCTTGCTGTTGGTGCTGAGCTCACCTGGGAACATAACCCAATGCAAGAATAACTACTAGGCAGAGGCAAACCATGGTCTCGTGCCTCTCTTGACATACAGCATCCACATGAATGATGCAAGTCCCTGCTTCCCCAAATCTGGTCATCTTCATCAGCCAAGACTTGTGAACTCTAGGGCAGAGCTGCAGAGAGTGCTGATTTCCCATGCTGAGTTGCCTGGCTCCTTGTTTGCCAAGACTCAAGCGATTACTGAAAGGTTTTCCTGAAAATATTGCTTGCACTGCCTGACTGAACTTTCTCCCTCCGTCCTCAGAGCCAATCACTAGAGAACAACAGAAATGACTTAGAACCTCCATGGCACTCAGGGCTTGTGCCTCCTGCACCACCCACGTCTCTCACTTTCAAGTCTGTCTCCAGCTTCTAGTTCACCTTAGCTACAACATTGTACAAACAAAGGAAATCCAGAAGGTATTTTAAAGCTTTTTGCCTTCAAATTGATAATGACTGATACTCACTATCAGAAGATAAAGGTGAGAATCATTTCCAAGCTGTACTACTTTGAAGGCAGACATTGTTGAGCAGGTACATCTGGATGCTTTCTTGTGGCAAGTTCTGCAGCATCCTTAGAAAGAGCTGGCTTGCTTTCTTTATCCTGTGTATGTCAGAGGCTGCTTTAACATCTCAGGTCTATGTCTCTTTGGGTGTGTGCAATGACTGTAGATGAATAAGGGAGCCAAATCAGGATTACTTCGGGTAGGAAGATACTCCAACTTTTGTATTAGCTGAAAACAATCAGCCAGTAGTAGAATTTGAAGGTATCAGAGAATGAGGGAAAATGAGTGTTTCAGGTGATCTGGCTGTGCCAGGGGCTGAGGAGACACCCCAGTGGATAGAGTGCTTCTTGTGCAAGCATGAGGACCTGAGTTCGTATCTTTAGCATGCACTTAAAAGGCATGAATGCTGGTATGCATGTGTTATTCCAGGGCTTGGGGCACAGAGACAGGAGAATTGCTGTGGTAGCTGAGCCGTCAGCCTGGCCTAAATGGTGAGCTCTGGGTTCAGCGAGAGACCCTGTTCTCACCCCCACCCCGCAGAAGTGGAGAGCAACAGAGAATAGAAGAAAATACTAAGTGAAATTTCTGTCCTCTGCATGTATACCTATGAGTGTACATTCATGTCCGTACACTCTCACACACACAAACGTGAGTCAAAACAGACACCCAGAGAGCTTGATATTCAAAACTCAGATTCTGACTGGCATCTGTGTCTCCTGAATATGAGAGATGCAGCTATGGAGAAAGCATAGTTGCAGGTGGAGGGGGCTCTCATGGCGGAGAGTTTTCCTTGGGAGGCTGGAATCACAATTACTGCTCACGATTAGACAAGCGAGCTGCCTCCATATGCGCTGAGAGAACTCACTGGGGTGTGCCGCAAAGTCTGCTCTAGAAAATTGCAACCCCGCCTCCCTTGAAAGGCTGAGATTTATAACAAGTGTTTATCTACAAAATGCTTCACATAAAAATAGCCCAGGACACCACCCACATGTTTTGTCTTGTAAGGGAAACGCATGAGCTTTCTTAAGCTTTTAGTTACAGCTTCTCTAAACTCATCTTAGTTTTGAAAATAACTTGGCTCAAATGCAAAGACCCTCAAGGAAGCCTTCTGACCATGACTGTTCTTTTGTGACCCACGGACCCAGAGAGTCCTGGACCCTCTCCAGCAAGAGGTATGTGTAGAAAGAAAACTAAGATCTTTAGCTTTTGTACTCGGTGCTATAAAAATGGTTCCAGACATGACATGTGGGAAGGAGATAATCTAAAACAGGGGCTATTTTCATGTTCAGCCTTTGAAGATTTTAATAAGTGTGAGCCAAATCAAGTTGTTGGCTTCAAATGTTTCAGATTTTCACTGTCTTCCTTTGATTATTTGAAATCATTGGGTTGTTTGGGGATGTTCCCAGGCAGTTGACACAGAACTCAGCAGGTAGTGACCTCCAGCAGTCGGTTTCACTTCACTCCATAGCCCCCCAGCCAACCAGGAAGGCAAGAAACAAGAATATGGCTAGACTGTTCAGTTCAGGCCAGTTCAGCCAGTTTTTCAAGGATCCCAAGAGAAGAGTCTTCTTGTGTGAACAATGTTTGGGCGCTTGAGGTTCCTTGAACTAATTTGTGTTTTGCCTGCTTCTTTCCCCCTTCTCTCTTCTTCCTTATAAGCAAGAATGGCCCTCTTTGGCTTGCCTTTAAGAAATTCTAGTGACCCACAAGACTAGCATGTACGCAGGGATCCAGGATTAAGTATTTAGAACATGCCTGGCCTGGCAATCTTGTGGTCGTCTAGGACAGATCTGAGATAACAACCAACAACAAGAGCTTTTTCTCCTGGGCCTTAGAGTCCAACTGAGGAGTAGAGGAACAAGCAAACAACAACAACAAAAACCCAATCAGACACACAAACAAAAAAACCAACAACAAAGCACAAAGATGAGAGGACCTTGAAGTAGGGTCCTGTTAGATCTGAATGTCTGACTGCTGAAGCCAAGCAAGGCAGTTCCATAACCCTTATTCTCAGGGGACTGGCTAGGCAACTTCACCAGCATGATTATAGATGAAACGTTCACAGGCCCAAAGCAAAGCATCATACATTTAAAAAGGGAAGCCATAGGACTTAAGTTTATGTGTTATCTAGACCTGAGTACTCTGCTTGAGGAGTGACATACTGTGCCATAGCATGCTAGTGAAGTGAAATTAATGTCACCAAGGACCATTCTGTTTGTGGCATCTCATTTCACCAGCAGGAAAGCTCAAATACCAGAAAGTCATTTTCAAAACCAGAACTGGAAAGCAGAGTGTGGCATCATTTGCCCTCCTTCTCCTTGGACATGCCCTTCCACCCAATAAGAAAGCCTTTTCACAGAAAGCAGGCAGGGAGTCCCATCCCAGGCTGACTCAGCAGTATTTGGGAGTTATACCTGGGAGTTTGTGACTAAAGCAAAGACCTGAGATTAGAAGAAAGCAGAAGGGAACCATCTGTAGTTGTGACGATTGGTGAACTCTGTCTGAGAGGGGGAAGACATTTTCTGCAGGGTTTAGAAGAGTGATGTTCCCCTACCTGCACCTAACTCCTGTGCATGTGGTTTCTTAAGGTCATGTGGAAGGTCTGACATGAAAGTGTCTAAGGGAAAATTTAGTGGTGAGGTCAAGTGTTGGGACACAGTCAAATGTTGAGGAATCATCATTTGCAGTCTTTCATTCATGTTCTAATCAGGAAATGCATGTCTCTGGTGTACACTCAGCCCTATCCTTGACACTTAGGACTCAGCCACAGAAAGAACAAAAATACCAGACTTTGAAGTGTTTCCCTTTCATGGAAAAATACAAAGGAAGCAAAAAATGAGTCAAATATGAAGCATGCTGGATAATGATGCATGCAGTTGTGGAAAAAGAGAAAATACAGGGTGAAGAGTGACTGGGTTTGCAATAAATAAGGAACAGTTACAATGACTTCACTGGGAACATGACATTTAAATATATATTCATGAAAGAAGCGGCAGCATATAATGATTGATGTACATGTAGCTATATGACGTAGAATGAACTAGATACATATATCAGATGAGCCTATGTAGGAAGAAGACTGCACAGATGCCCTGCAGTAGGAAGATACCTAGTATGCTTGAGGAGCAGTGCAGACAACATGGTCGGTTGGAGATGAAAGAGCAGAGAAGAGAAATGGAGAAGACTCAAGGTGAAGAGATTCTAGCCACCTTGGTTCATTCTAAGCTTGCAGCATTATCTGAGAGAAGCCATTGGAGATCCTACAAGACTGCTATCTGTCCAGTTGCTTCTCCAAGGACAGAAGCAGGGAGACTTGTTTCAGCAGGAAACAATATTGAAAGAGACTAAGATGGCAACAGCAGAGAAGGTGGAAAATGGAGATACTTGAGATAATGTTTAAGGAGATTGAAAAGGATGATTATTGCCAGATCTTTAAAACAGGAAATCAAAGTGATTGTGAAGTGCTTAACCTAAACATTTGAAAAGGTAGGGAGTAGGAGTCACAGGTGGAAGACGATCAAGGTCCACACACTCTACATGTGAGTTGTGTGTCTGCCAGAGAAGCTCATGGAGACCAGTAGTAGATGCAAGTTTGGCATTCAGAAGGGAGGGCTGGGCTAGAAATGGGTCTTCCTATCCCTGTGACTAACTGGGGTTACAAGAACAAGTGGGGTGCAGACAGTGAAGTGAAGAGACCTAAGGGTAGAGAAGAGAAAGAAAAAGTAGGAAAGGGGTTAAGAAGGATTAACCACAACAGGACAGCTGAGGACAGTGAGGAAGAAGGGTTGCAGTCAAGTCCCAGGGACTGTGAACTGACCACAGAGTTAGACAGGGCATTCACTGGTGATCTTGTCAACAGCAATGTCAACAGCACGGTGGGGCAGAAACCAGATAGAGTTCAGAGAAAATGGGAAGAATGAAACTAAATAGTGAGAAGAGGTCATTTATTCAAAGAATTTTTACTATATACTGGGCCAACCAAATGAAATACTGATGATAATATCTGCATATATAAAAAGAAATGTATACAATGCATTATCACAGGTATCATTTATACATTATTTCTAAAAATACCACTATGTACATATTTATTACTGCATGTATTATTTACTTTATATACTAATATATTACAATATATATTACATGTATAGCATATTACTATTTCTATAACTATATCTACACACACATGTAAGTGATCCTCTCAAGATGAGGAAATTTGTGGAAGACAGAAGAAAATGTGCATTAATGTATAAAGAGACTAGTTGTTGGTAAGGAAAACGTCAAAGGTATGATCGTGTGATTATAAGCCTACAACTGAATGAAAGTCAGGGTCATTACACTTAGAAATTTGAGACCAGGACATATGGACAAGTCTTCCACCTAGACACTGAAATCACGAAGAACAGTAACGTTAGAGAGAAGGGCAAAGGACAAAGAACTGCATTCTACCTCTAGTAAGGGATGGCGGGGATCTGTGGATGACTTCTACCAGGATGAGTGGTGAGTTACGTATGTGAATAATGAAATGCAACACTGGAGGATGGATGATCTGAGAATGGCAAGAAAGAGAAGGGAGGTTACTTGATTCCTGCGATGAACAGTGGCGTGGATTTAAAACCCATCGCCTGAGTGGGCTTCAGAAGATGAGGTTGCCAGACTTTGGACATAATAGGGAGGCAAAGGATATTCAGAGTGAAGAGGGGAATACAGGAGTGATTCTGGTGATTGATGTTGTGTCCTAAGTTAATAATAAGAGACCTAAAGTCAGGAAGGGTGCAAGGTATATCAAGAAAGTGGTCATAAACCAGGTGGTGGTGGTGCACACTTTTAATCCTAGCCCCCAAAAGGCAGAAGCAAGCATATCTTTGTGAATTGGAGTCAAGCCTGGCTTACAAAGCTAGTTCTAGGACAACAAAGGCTACACACATAAAAGGAAGGAAAGAAGGAAGAGAGAGAGTTAGAGAGAGAGAAAAGGAAGACAAGGAAGGAAAGAGGAAGTATATAAGTGGCCATAAGATGTGAAAGTCCACTAGACCAGCAATGGATAGAAAGACACAAAGGAAGTTCGAGGTGTGATTAAACTCCCTGTTGTCTCATAGCTAAGCCTGCCAGTGAGCCTGCACACAAGAGGAAGGAGTGAGGCCATGCCCTCAAGAGCTGTGGTAGGTCCATGACTTCTCTTCACACCTATCCACAGAGGATTAGAGGCAGGGGAATGCTGAGTCTTGAGTGGGGCATCCATAAATGTGCAGAGTATTCTCTGCTATCCTACTACCTTGACAGGAACACTGGCAATCTCTTGTC